CTCCCTCAAAGTGACAGACCAAGTTCTCCACTCATGCAGCACAACTGACAAAAATACGCTTTTGTATATTTTAACCTTTAGTTTCCTATTTATGTAAGACGGGAGGACAAATATTTTTAGACTGAATGACATGAGGCATGCCCTCATTTTACTATACTCTTGATTTCGTCATGAATGTCATTCTGACTGGTCAGAGTCGTCCCAAAGTACTTCAATTTTGTCACATTTTCGAACGATTCATTAGCTATCCTTATATTTTGGTTCTGTCCTGAATTCTGATGCTAAGACATGAACGCATACTTTACCTTCTCTGCATTTATTTTTAGACCAACCTCCCTACTACCTCTAAAGGGTGTCCATTGTTGGTTTTATAGTATTTATATCATCGCCCAACAGATTAATATCATCAACATAGGCTAAAAGCTGATGCGTCCCATTCAATTAGAAATCGCCCTGATTTTTTATCTTTCCTGGTGGCATATTCCAAGGCAGAATTAAGAAGCAGTGGTGATAAAGAATCTCCATTTCAGGCCATTCTGAATAGGAAATATATCGGACAAATGTTTACCTACACGAATTTTGCTGGAGGTTTAATTTAAATGCACTTTAATTAGCCTGACTACCTTCTTAGGTACACCAGATTCAAACAAAATATTGTAAAGAGCTTCTCTTTTAACTGAGTCATAGGCTTTCTTGAGGTCTGTAAATAGTTGATGGACTGTCCCATTGTATTCCTAGTTTTTGTCTGGTATCAAGGGAATGTAGAAAATTCGACCAATTGTAGATGTATTACTTTGGAACCCACACGAATAATTTAATTGGCATATGGTGTTAACCTAGCCTGAAGAATGTTGGATAATATTTTGTAGGTGATTGATAAGACGGAGATTCCTCGATAATCATTACAGTCAGTCTTATCGCCCTTCTTATGAATTAATAAAATAATATATTTCTTCCTCATCCCACATAAAGCAATTCATTTTGTGTGTCTCGGAACGCCTCCTGCTTTAATCAATTCGGCCATAATCTGATCAGTGCCAGGGATTTATACTTTTTCGACTTCTCAATAGCAGTTTCCAATTCGATGGGGCTAGGTTCTGGCACTTATGGATCAGCCGTGTGTGTATCTGTCTGGGTAATACCAGGAACAAACCTAACCTAACTAAACCAAACCAAAATTAACAAGACCAAATCAAACCTAACCTAACTTAACCTAAAAACCAAATCAATCCTAACCTAACCAAATCAAACCTAACCTAACCTAACTAAACCAAATCAAATCAAAACCTATCATAACCTAACTTAACCTAACCAAACCAAATCAATCCTAACCTAACCAAATCAAACCTAACCTAACCCAACCTAACCAAACCAAAATCAACAAGACCAAATCAAACCTAACCTAACCAAATTAAACCTAACCTAACCAAACCAAACTAAATCAAATCTAACCTAACCAAACCAAATCAAATCAAATTTATCTTAACCTAACCTTTGAAATCGAACCTAACCTAACCTAACCTAACTTAACCTAACCAAACCAAATCAAACCTAACTTAACGAAATCAAACCTATCCTAACCTAACCAAACCAAATCAAACCTAACCTAACCAAATCAAACCTATCCTAACCTAACTTAACCTAACCAAACCAAATCAAACCTAACTTAACGAAATCAAACCTATCCTAACCTAACCAAACCAAATCAAACCTAACTTAACGAAATCAAACCTATCCTAACCTAACCAAACCAAATCAAACCTAACTTAACGAAATCAAACCTATCCTAACCTAACCAAACCAAATCAAACCTAACCTAACCAAATCAAACCTATCCTAACCTAACTTAACCTAACCAAACCAAATAAAACCTAACCTAACCAAATCAAACCTATCCTAACCTAACTTAACCTAACCAAACCAAATAAAACCTAACCTAACCAAATCAAACCTATCCTAACCTAACTTAACCTAACCAAACCAAATAAAACCTAACCTAACCAAATCAAACCTATCCTAACCTAACTTAACCTAACCAAACCAAATAAAACCTAACCTAACCAAATCAAACCTATCCTAACCTAACTTAACCTAACCAAACCAAATCAAACCTAACCTAACCAAATTAAACCTAACCTAACCAAACCAAACTAAATCAAATCTAACCTAACCAAACCAAATCAAATCAAATTTATCTTAACCTAACCTTTGAAATCGAACCTAACCTAACCTAACCTAACGTAGCCTAAACAAACTTGAACTTCACCTGTGATATCCGTTTGTGCTCAGTTACTTACTGTTGCCTTCCCGTAAGGAACGAAATCCACGGAGAGGTTATCATCGGTCAGCAGAAGCCAGGTCGGGTAGAGCTGGAATCTGATGAAGCGAATGCTGTCAGGGCACAGACTCTCATAGTAGAGCGTCAGGTTGACAGCTTCTCCCTGAAATCACAGCGAATCACATCTTATTACGCCGACGGGCGCGTTTCAAGGCCATTCAATCCAGTCTTAAATTCTGGAAAACTGGCTGTAATTTCACATTCCGAAGTAAGAGTCTCCGATCGTGATTCATTTTATGACGCTGTAAGTCGTCTAAATTGCACAGCGATAGATGATTGGGTAATTAATGAATAGGTAAGGATGTGGAAGGAAGCGGTCTCGAAGAATTCGCCTGGAGAGAGTCAAGAAGACTGCATTAGACGTAGTTGGTAGTGGTGGTAATGTGTCGCCCTGCTTTATCAACCAAGAGTTTTACATTTCGCCCAAAGAGTATTTATGTATCTCGTACGATTATCCGAGTGGACAGCGTCAAATGATTGTGGTTTGTAATGGTGAGGCGTTGCGTTTTCTTTGCGGTACGGACTGCGTGTTTAAATATTATTTAGACGATTTTCTGCTCAGAGCCGGGCTGGGGACTATATTGGCCGAGAAAAGATTTCTCCCCCTGCCCAGAATCGAAACATTAATTACTTTTTTAAGCTTTCGGTTCAGTAAATGAATGAAAATACCTGTTTTGTTTTTGGGGACATTCTATCCGCGGACATAATTTAATAGTAACTGTTATACTTAAATGAAATTTAAGACTTGGAATAAACTTTATGAGAACTGAGAACATCTGAATTAAAAGTTGAACATGCTGTTTTGTAATAATGTGAAAAACATGTTTAAATATAAGCTACCTGTGGCTTAGATCGCTTCTCTACAGAGTGATATATGATATGAAGCTTTCACGGCGACAAAGTATAAGGAATTCTTCCGTGGGCCATCAGCCGTGTAGGGTGGTTTCGAGAACCACTTTCGTCCTCGTTCTGAGGGTACTGTACCCTGAGGACGAGGACGAAGATGGTTGTCGAAACGTTGGTGTTCTCTCCATTAAACCACCTTACACGGCTGGTAGCCGGAGGAGAATTTATTATACTTTATAGAGTGGTTCACGCTGGCCTTGTAATCCTGGGGTTTTGGGTTCGATTCCCGGCGGTGCCCGAATTTATAACTTGTGTTGGGCAAGGCCGTGGTCTAGGCAACACGGAGTTTTCCTCCGTGGCATCCCAACAATTACTCCATGCACACACAGAAGAAGGCAATGGCAAAACACTTCTGGATCATCTGCCAAGAACGTATATGAACAGGTCCCAGTCCGAGAAAAGGATGGAAGGATCCTGTTCATATGGACCTGTCGTCAGACAGAACACTAAATAATAATAAGATGAGGTGGTTCATAGTCGGATGGCGAAACTCTTGGAGGTTGTTGAGGTCATTATTTTGAGCAGGAAATGTGAACTGTTGTCCTGTTCGACAAAGTTTCAGACTATGCGCGGAATGTAGGGAATGTGGATTCGCGGAACGCAATGCGACCCCACCCATTACACGATCAGGCATTTTCGTTAAACATAACGGAATGTCGAAACTCAGAAGAGCTATTAACGTCGAAGCCTTTGTTTGCCATTCGTTGTAATTAAGAGTGATAAATATTTTACGTGAATTTAATTAATGGAAGATTGGAAGGAGATCATAATATGTCCTATATACAAGAAAGGAGATGAAAAAAAATGTGAAAACTACAGAGGGATATCGCTGTTACGTGTGATAAGATAGGCTACGGCCATATGTCGAAGGAAATATCAGGATGGATTTATGAGAGCCAGGTCTACCATTGATCAAATATGTACTGTTAAGCAAATATTAGAAAAATTCTGGGAAGGAAACATAGAGATAACACAGATATTTGTAGAATTCCAACAAGCATATGATTCCATAGATACTAGAATCAGCCTTGTAATGCACCAATTCAAGATACGTGGGAAACTATAAGACTTACGAATATGACGATGGAAGATACAAAATCAATTGGGAGACAGAATTACAATAAATAATTCTCTTTAATCTTGCCCTTAATCTTAATTAGAAAACTAGCATTAGACACCAAACGCACTTTGGAATATACGAGGCTCGTCCACAAAGTAAGTTTCCCTGGGGCCGTTTACAGAAACAAAACACAATTTCATGGAAATATTTATTGCAACAGATACAGCAAGTGTCCAGCTATTTTTCAACATATTCGCCACCAGAATTGAGACATTATTTTTCAACATATTCGCCACCGGAATTGAGACATTTGTCATACCGTGGGACCAACTTTTAATACCTGTGTCGTAGAAGTCTGCCGCCTGGGATTGGAACCACTGTGTGACAACCATCTCCGCCTCTCTGTCATTCTCAAAACGCTGACGCTGACGCTGACCGGACAGGAATTTCTTGAGGTGTAGGAAAAGATGGAAATCACTGGGAGCGAGGTCCGGGCTGTAGGGTGGATGATTAAACACCTCCCAGCTGAACTTCTGCAGGAGACTTGCTGTCCGTCGAGTCGTGTGCGGCCTAGCGTTATCACTGACCGCACTTCACAGTCGGCGGGGGCTGGAATAAGAACCTCCATCTTCAACAGCTGCAACGATGCTACTGTGAGAACGCGGGAAGTACCGTTAGTGCATGGGCCATGCTACGTCATTGCTCTATCACGTACGCACAGTCGCTTCGCGCAATATAAGGTTTGCTAGCTGTGGGACGAGTGGGAAACTTACTTTGTGGACGCGCCTCGTAAAATGGTACAAATAGTTGGGTACGCGGATGACGTAAATATTTTGGGAAAATCGTTAAGATCAGTCAAAGAATAGTTGAAGTGGATTACAAATTATCACAAGGAAAACAAAAGCCTTAATACAAACAAGAAGAAGATTATTAGACCATCATATAAAGATTAAGGAACGTGAAATAGAAGTGGTGCGAAGATTCACATACCTGGGAGTATTCATAACAAATAAGAATGTGGAAGTGGTATAAATACAAAGCAGAATTCAAGCTGCCAATAAAGCATTTTTCTCGATATTACCACTGATAGAATTTTATGGAATGAGTAAGAAAGTGAAAATCACTTTATATAAAACTCTCATCCGTAGCGTAATGACATACGGGAGTGAAACGTGGGTTTGAACGGGAAATCCTGAGGAAAATTTTCGGCCCAACACAAGACGCAGGTGAATTGAGGATAAAAACTAATCAGGAAATCTTTAAATTATATTTAGACTTACCATTGTCACAATTTATAAAAATTAATAGACTTCAATGGGTAGGTCATCTGATTCGGATGGACGACATCCGAATTCCAAAGATGGTATTCAAAGGAAGTGTTAGAGGAAGAAGACTAGTTGGAAGACCCAGGAACAGATGGGAGGATGCAGTTCAAACGGATGCCACACTGCTCCTGAGGATTAGAAATTTGAAGAAGGCAGCGGAGGATAGGACCGAATACGGACCGGAGAGCCATAGAAATAACCGAATATACACATGAATGAATAATTATTTAATTTTCTTAAAATGTAGTGAAGAGTCATCTCGACAGATAATATGTGGCTTGCTCAAAATATGGTCATACAAGAGATTCACATGTACTGGCGCCCACAGGATAAAACACAAAATGTCTTATTAACTTATTTTTACAATTATTTATTTTAATCCGATTTTTCTAGACTTTTTAACCACATATTGCATTTCGGATTTCAACACATCTACAAACTGCTGTTTATATTTATAAGAAAGGATTACGTAAAATCCTGAACAAACATATTTGAAAGTAATTACTGCAGATGAAGAGAGATGTCCTTCAGTTTCGGGATAATATTCTTTTTTCTATGACATTCAACGATTGCTTATCGAATGATGAGATCTGTCAATACTTTCGGACAAAAACTGGTGAAATATGTAAGACTCTGTCGAAAGTTTTCGCGGGAAATTGCTGCGTTCACTTTGTATTAGATTTTCCTTCAGAAACATATAGAAAAAAAAGTTTCATTCGTCCGAAGACACTCAAATGCTTAATCCTTACCCATCAGGACCTGTGGGAATAATAACTTAATTAAGTTATGTAACAAAGAACAGACTCTGTAAATAGGGACGATAGATCAGCATAGAAGCCATAGAAATGGAACTTAAGAGTTGACATCGACGCTCGTGAGATCCGTTCGTTACAATTTACATGACGTATCACATGATTCTTTGTGTTTTTGTCCAAGTCTTGTATCTATATCCGTTTGCATTGACTGTCTTTTACATTCTGTATTTCTATTTAAAAGTAGCGACTGATGCCTTGTCACGTTTCGTATCCGACTTTTTCCATTTTTAATAACCAGGGTAGCTCAGTCAGTACAGTGACTAGCTACGGGCTGGACGACCGGGGTTCGATCCCCGACGGGGGCAGAGGATTTTACCTCTACCCTCTGCGTCCAGGCCTGCTCTGGGTCCCACCCAGTGGGTATTGGGGTCCTTTTCTGGGTGTAAAACACAGCTGGGGAGGCGTGAAGCTGACCACTCACCCCATCTAGTGCCGAGGTTAAGAACTAGTAGGAGCTATACCGGCTCTCCCCCCAAGCGACCTACGTGGCGTGCAGTGGGACAGATTTACTTTATATTAGCTTGAAAATGTGGCCCAGTTATCTCCAGGTTCTTAATATCTGTGTCGCCCTGCCTCAGTCTAAGATAAACTCGTATATCAGATATGGAGACGGATCGTAAAGATGAAAGATACTGTGTCTGGATTCACGTGGTTTGCGCTTGTGAAGACGGTAATGAACATTTCAGCTTCTTAAGCAACATCGTGCATCGTGGAGTTGGTTACTAGGGTTTATACAAAAACCTAATTTTGAAAAAAAACCTGTTTTCGAATTTTACAAATTTATCCACAAAAAAACCTGTTTTTTAAACCCAGTTTTTAAAAACCGACAAACCCTATTGGTTACTTTATTGGTCAGGGTTTCTGAACACGTCTGGACCCTCGAATGGAACTTTAAACAATCCTGATTATCATTAACGACAACTTCAGAGCTAAGCAAAGTTATTATTGCAAGTCGCGAACTATTTACGTGAAGATCTACTTTAATATTATCCGTCCATCTATGCCTAGGTCTCACCGGTCCCCATCACTTGAGAATTTCTGAGCAACATTTTGTATTCATTCTCATTTTCCCCTCCACCCCATTCAAGCTACAAGTCTCACCCATCTCAGCTGCCTTAATATGATCATCCTAATTACATTTGAAGAAGATCTTGCGGTAAGAACTTCGTCACGTTAGATTTTCTCCGCTCTCCTGATATTTATCATTGTAATTTTTACGTAGTAAAAATTCGTGTTTTTTTTATTTTTGTCAGAATTCACTTTATTTGGGGGGCCCCCTATATCTGCGAGGCCCTAGGCTGGCGCCTGTACCTAAGTATGGGCCTGGTGACCACGTTGTATGCTCACACAAAACAAATCACCAGGCAGAATCTTAATTTTGTGTTTTTTAATCTTTTAAGTTTTCGTAACGGATTCTGAACTCATTTCAAGAATAAGAATTTCCCGGTGTTCGAATTTCACGTCATTTTAGAAGGACGTTTTAGCTGAAGTCAGTAATTAAATGAATGGAATCCGAGAGATTAATTTAACAGGATTTCTACTTACACGAATTTGAGCTGCGGACAAAATTAGAATCGCTGAAATCAACACTCGCATCGTAACCTTCATGTTGGCGTCGAATTCACGGTCAGCCGTCAAGTGGGCGTTAGTGAGCCACTTGGCCGCCGTAAGCGTTGAAGCGATGCTAGCTCCGTGCCGCGGCCGTAATACGCATTACTAGTACGCAAATCGTCAGTCAGGACGCAAATATCAGCTCTACTGATTGTAGAAGCGAGGAATCACACGGGCTACATTTTTGTCGACATTTCATAGTGCATTGAAATTCCTGTATTCCGGAGGTCCCAAATTCGAATCTCGGGGCAGGACAGCTATCGTGGTTTTCCTCAGTCTGCATGAATCAGCCCACATCCACAAATAAAACTTCCTCAAGATCCATTTTAACATTTTTAATCCCCTCTTCGTCTGGGTCACGTTTCCATTTGTTTGGTCGTACCAAAAAAATTCGTCGAAATCTCAGCCTCCCGCTCAGCCATTTTGCCTTGAGGACCACTCATTCTTGATTGACCTTTGATTGTCTAGACGCCGCCCTCGCTATCAGTAACACGAAACTTTGAAAAACATCGATAAGGAACATGATAGACGTGAAGTGTGATACTCGAAATAGCTCCGTGTTGTCGGTTGTCAAGGACAAGCCGTGCTCCTGTATAAGCTGTAAGACTCTGCGCGCATGAGCGGTGTTTCGCCCGATATTGGTGGCGATTACACGCGTAATGGAACTTTACACCACAGTTTTTGATAGTGAGACATTATTTTGGTAGGTAATAGACGGTCCAATCATGAACAATAACTTGTCGAAACTGCTGCTACTCATTTGAAACTATCCGAATAATCTCTTTGGATACATACGAGGTGCGATCGGAAAGTTTCAAGACTGCGCCTATAAAAACCCGTACACTTATCTCAGGTATTAAATTCATCCATCACCCTCGAAGTAGTTCCCCTGGGAGTGAACACAACGATCCCAGCGCCGCTGCCAAGCCTGGAAGAGGTTCGGCCATTTTTAAAACGTGAATGCCACACAAAAATTTGTGCACGACCCATTGCGGACTCCCCAAATGCTTGCTTTAGCATTTTATAGGTTTCCGTAGCCGTTTTGGCGAGTCTTTGGCAAAATTTGATGCACACGCCATTCCGAAATCGCAGGAGGGTCGGTGTAATGCACTACCAAAACGCCCGTAACTAAGAAACAAATGCTAATTTGATGATGCCGGCTGGCACACTGATTCACTATGAATGTAGGCCGCACCCCCTGAAGGCAGAATCTCGTACTACATCCGGTTCGCCCTCTATTGACACAGTCTTGAAACCTTCCGATCGCACCTCGTACGCAGGTAAACATATAACTTGTGAAATTGGCATTTCAACAATCTTTGACTTACATTGTTATTGTAACTGTTTATCATAGAATTTTGATCTGAAAAATATGAAATAAAACATCACCTGTGAGATGTAGATGTCGATTATATAATTTTGTTGAGATGAATTACAAGAAAGTAACGTGTGGGTGGTCTGGATTCATCTGATTGAGGTTAGGGTCCAGTGTCGTTCTTTCTATAAGAGGTCGGAAATGTTTTCACTAGCTTCTGAAGAAAAACTCGACACCTTTAGATTTCTTTAATACGATATGTCCGGAGGTAACTACAGACACCACCTGTTCTAACAATCGATAACTCTTCATTTTATATTTACGTGTTTTGTACGATTGCCACTGTCAATATCGATTATTCCCTTTAAGCAGCGTCGATCAATCGATCTTTGTAATCTTGAAGTGTTGTGATGGTAATCGTTGTCAGCTACTATGAATCACAGAGTACAAAGTAAACATAAAATGGAAGTAACAATAACCTCACTTTTCACAAGATATTTTATCGTGGTATAATCACAAAAATTGCATCGATAATCGAGTTATTTATTACATTTGTTATCTCGCTTTTTATAACCTGAGCTCGCAGCAACTGTTTCGCTACGTAAACTGTGAGGAATTTGCTATTGTTTAGGATCTCATTAATACTTATTATGTCATTTATTAGCATCATTTTTCTTGCAATGAGAATTAAAGGCCTTAGAGGAAAAGTGGTTCATGTGATTTTTAAACGTTTAACATTGTAGACATTATTGATTTACATTTTTAAAAACACGACACCTCTAACAGGATGAAGTGTGACTTCCTGGTAAGAATTTTGTTGTATTTTTACAATTTATTTTTCGATTATTTGTTCCATGTAACACGCATTATCTATCGATAAATCGTTTCGATTATCGAAAAACTCGAATGTGAAGACATCCTTACAAATGTCACAGCGTATATTAACTTTATGATTGCATGGAATATAAATAAATCGCTTCCTGTGGTATTTAGCTGGTATTTAGGAATCCCACAGACACATTTACCCTAAAATTATTGAATTTTAGGTCAGAGAATTCAACGTAACAACTGTTTGAAGAAAAACAGATTAGTTACTAGCTTAATATAAAGAGACACGCTGGAGACAGAATTATCGATATATTTAATCCATTCCCGTGGAGGTACTGAGGAAGGTCACCGAATATATAAGTTACCCCGATCTGAATAAGAACCGAATATATAAGAAATATTGATCAGAACGTTACCTCTGTGATAACTCGCTAACTGGAATGTTTTGTTTGATGAATACACTGCGATTTGTATGAAACTTTTTCTCGTGTTATATGCAACACCAAAGTAAATAAGGTAGTATATTTGCGTCATATTGTGAATTTCAATAAACTGCGTAACATTGTAAATGATTGTAATTCGAGTTTTAAATTTACCAATCTAATTTATACCTGAGGACGGTTAAATATAACCGAAACATGTCGTAAGAGACGTTTCAATTTGTAAATCGATCATTCGATGCGGAACGTGAAATGATATTTTAAATATTTTATATTTTATTATCTTATTAAAATTGTGATTTGACGGAAAATATTAAAATATTAACCAAAGTAAATATTTATATCTAGAATAATAATCTTGCTGTATCGATACTCTTACTTCAGAAAAGGCAGCCAATTCTTCAATTAACATTTCAGAAGCGCATATACCATTCTTACATTCAGTACTTCTTACCACAGCTGACCGGAAGACAGACGAATTAATACTCCGAACCTCCACCAGGTGGTATCTGCACGACAATAAGGGCCACTTCTTGGGTTATTTAAGTAACACAATGGACCATATAGGCTTTAGTAGCAGGTTTAATATTGTTTATAGTTGTCAGATTATGGGTTTTATATGTCAGAAGTTCGCACTCACGAAAGGTTTCGCTGGACGCATTGCTTGAGGACCGTCGCCGCCATGTTCCTGGTTTTACTCTTTGTGTCTGTGTTTGTTCAGGTGAGAGCGGGCCGCCATTTTGAAATTAGTGATTTTTAAGAAGTGTAATGTAAATACGTCTCAGTATTCACCAGGACGTTTCGGCTATTTCTTTTTTCTGAAAATAAAGACTAATGAAAGCGTGACCTTTTGGAAATGGCTTAAATTAAAATTTCTGTCGACAAACGACGGGCCCCTTTCGATATTTCTTTTCCATAATTTAATTATGTCAAAAATTGCCTTTCGTGCGTGGAATTCGAATTTTCATTACCGTTTTCACAAAAGCCTGCCACTTGACTTTTCCTGAGGCAGATGAATTCAGTGCGTATACTATTTATTTCAGAACTATTTTAATATTATCCTATCATCTATGCTTGTGTCTTCTGAATGGACTCTTTCTTCAAATTTTTGACTAAAATTTACTGTTGATTATTTTGAGAGTAAACATTTCTGAGTTTAGATTCTGCCGTGTTATGTATCATCCTCTTAACTTTGTGAATGGTGAAGAAATTTAATTTACTTCAATTTTCATGTCGGCTGTTGTTCAGAAGTTCTTCAACGCACCCATACCGTGAGTCTGAATTTTTCAAGGTCACATATGATTAATCCAAATACAAAGTTGAAGTTTTCTGTGTGTGTGTATTTGGACGGTTGTTGAATTATAGCTCCGGAACTGATATACCGATTTTACCGAAACTTGGCATGCTTATTCCTTGAGACAAGGAAGAGGCTATAGGAAAGTTACGACGCCATGAAAATGTTCTGGAGTCGAGAGCAGACGAAGATGTTTTCAATGACAAAAACAAGGAAGTGAGCCAAAAATATTACTATTTGTTTCGGCGGGGACATTATAAAGGAAGAAAGATAACATCCTCGAGGAAGTGATTTGGTTTTTGTCCTTCGGTTAAGGTGGAGTCTTTAACTTCGGATGGATAAAGGCTAGGAACACGACGAAAAACATCCCGATTTAGTGACCTGTGAAAATTCATCCACTTTCGCAAACTGCACCAAAGTAATTCAAAACAATCCAAAGTAACAGGATCTAACACAAGCTAGACTTATCCAAACGAAATCAACCGAACACAAACTAAAGTAACTTAATCTGACCTCACCTAACCTAACCTAACCTAACCTTACCTAATGTGACGTAATCTGATCTCACCTGACCTATTCCAACGTAATCTGACCTAACCTGACCTTACCTGACCTAATGTAACTTAATCTGACTTCACCTAACCTAACCTGACCTAATCTAACATAATGTGACCTGACCTGACCTTACATAATGTGACGTAATTTGACCTCACCTGACCTAATCCAACTTAATCTGACCTCACCTAACCTGACATTTCCTGACTTAATCTACTTAATCTCACCTGACCTGACCTAATCTAACTTAATCTGACTTCAACTATCCTGACCTTACCTGACCTAATGTAACTTAATCTGACCTCACCTAACCTAACCTGACATTACCTGACCTAACTTAACATAATCTGACCTGACCTTACCTGACCTTACCTGACAATCTAACTTAATCTGACCTGGCCTAACCTAACCTAACATTTCTTTACCTAACCTGATATGACGAAATCTAATCTAATCTAGTATAACACAACCTGTTCATCTGTGTGAAGTGTGTGACTCTCGAAACACAGAGGAAAATACTCATTTTACAATTTACCTACCGGAAAATGAATGTAATTAGTTCTGATTAATGGACAACCCAGAAGCTAGCAAGAACAGAGTCCAGTGTGTGCGAATTTTGCAGACGGCGCGGAGGGTTTGCACCAAAGTCGCTTCGATCCTTGGCCGTCGTCGTCCGCCCAAGAGTCCGCAGTAGCGAGCAGGGCCCTGGCGGACTACGGCAAACCTTTTAAATTATCGTACTCGAAGGAAGATGGCCCAAGATTTGGAGGACGAAACAACGAAGAAGAACCGATGTACTATGAGTCTTGATTTCTCAGCCAAAGCCACAGATGCAGTAGTTTCCAGGGCTCCTGGCTTCTTGTATGTACCTGATGATGCTCTGCCTTACGAATATCCTTCAAGAGTGGATGAAAAATACAGGATCGTAGTTCCTGTATATCCTTAAATTAATTTCAAGTACTCAGTATTAAAAATATCGTCACAGTTTCTGTTATAATGACACAGAATATGATAATTTAGAATTAAGATTTGCACTTAACATGGAGATTGTACTACTAATTTGATTGATGAACAAATAAATTTAATTAATATAATATTATTTAAAAATGCGTATGACAATTCATAAAATGTAAGAGTTTTCGTTCAAACTTTCCTTTAAAATTGCTCTGATAGAAAAATCCGGCGACTGAAATTACGAAGTTGCCCAGAAGCTGAGACACTCTATGTTTACGAACGTTCGATTTACGAACATTCGATTTACGAACGTTCGATTTACGAACGTTCGATTTACGAACATTCGCTATAACGAACGTCACAATTCATTCAAAATTTCTTAAAGTCGCCAATAGAGTTCCTTATAAAACGAAATACCAAACGTATAGTGAACATAATTGTAAAGTATAAATAAATAAACATTTAAAAAATTTATTTATTAAAATAATCAGAAAATTATTATATTATAATTATACTGAACTGTTCTTGGTTAATAAAACTAATCTAGTCAGTAAAAGAACGTTGGCTTACATGCCACGCAACGTAGAATGTTATCTCGTGGGAAAGAAATCGGTGATTCTCCCTATTATAATATAATAGGATCATCACTTGCTTTGCCTAGGTTTTCTTAGACGGTCAAGTGTAGTTTTGCATTTGGTGACATAAAATATATATTTTTTAAAATTTAAGCGATTTAATTAATATCACGTTCTTAAAAATGCGTGTTAAGACAATTCATAAAATGTAACTGTTGCCTTCAAGATTTCCTTTAAAATTGCTCTAATTGAAAAATCCGGCGACTAAAATTACGAAGTTGCCCAGAAGCTGAGAATTTTGTTGTGTGTAACATATTACCTTTGCAAATTTTTAATAAATGGACTTATAAACTGCCTCAGTAGTTTACGTATATGCTCTGTGATATGTTGAAAACCGAACATGACGCAGAAGAATTGCCAAGGATGGTTTAAACCAGCTGTTTTACATCATGTTTAAATATGTGTTAATAACATGAATGTAAAATTCTTGAATTCTGCTGTCTCGATAGAATTCAGTGCACGAATTTTGGGTATAACCAACATAAACGTAGTAATGTTATGACTTTTTGTTATAAATCACTTGAGAATGTTCCGAGACTAACATGTGTGAATTTGGTTCGTGGTTAAAATAGGTGAAAAATAAATTCTAGGACCGATTTATTTTTTCAGTTTTTCAAATGTTACCAACCTAACCTGATCTCCGAAAGAGCTAGAAATTAGAATTTCCAAAATTTCTCGTAGTTGAGTAACCTGCCGGCTTCTTAATTCATAAGAAACCACAGCTAATCAGAATAATTCCAACATACGTGAGTACAGTACTGACCATGACATCTCAGCACATGATACGTACAAATTTGAAGTGTATCCACCTAAAAATAGAGATGGTATGTACCAGGGTCTATTTGCATTTGTTTATTGTTTGTCGTCATTCAGAATATCCTCAAAATTTATTAAAATTAATGTTAAATCACCCTGTATATGGTTTATCTTCTTCTTATAGTCGATTATGTATTTACAGGCAAGAAACATAAATCTCTCTGTATATACATATTAACGTTGGAAATTTTGTTTGAATCAATGCGTAATATTACTTTTAATTAAAATGCATATTTATTGAATTTATATTAAAAAATACAGTATTTACAATATTTTATACCAGTATTAAAACTCTTTTATGGTACCGGTACGTATCATAATAATCGTGCCTTACCTCTGATGTTTGATAATCTCTGGGAATTAAATGTTTTGTACAGAACTAGGGTATTTAAATAATGCAGATCACTAATACTACAAATACGTCTTGTTAATTTACTACATTTGTTATGTACATTTTGCAGTGAGATCAATTGGAAATGCATCCAGTCAGTTATTTCAAATTCACACTTCGTACAGAATATCTACAATGGGAAAAATATAAATATTTTAGTTGAATAAATGATATACACAGAATTTTACACAAATTTGATGTTTTACGGGAAAAAAAAATGTATGTACACACAATTAAAGAAGAACTTTGGAAGAACTTATCATAATACTGTTACACGATTATAAAGTGTAATGCAATGCAGTTGTTAGAATTGTGACAGTTAACTTTCTTCAAGCTCAGTATCACATTAATGACGGACAATCAAACCTTGAAGGCGTGTCCCAGCTCAGACCTAATTTCCTTGCTCTCAGACAGGATTTGAATTTAATTGTTTACGAGAGTGCGTAGAAATACACGTTCACACCCACAAGATCCAGTCAAATAAAACTTGGCCATTTCTCCCATCAGCATGTTGTAGAAATGTTTTGGTAAACATTTTATATCAATTATTTATTTTTATCCGTCTGATCACAATATAATTTTATTTAAAATTTCTTATAATTAAGATAATAAAATATCATTGATGTTCCATATCGATTGATCGATTTACTTTTCGGAACATTTGTTGTGTAAATGTTCCGAAATGTAAATCGATCAATCGATATGGAACATCAATGATATTTTATTATCTTAATTATAAGAAATTTTAAATATTGTGATCAGACGGATTAAAATAAATAATTGATATAATATTCACAATATGACGCAATTACACTATATTATAAACATTTTATGCTCATTACTTAAAAAAAAATATATCTACCCCAATCTCTGAATGACGTGGGAAAACTCTACACACGAGTTTCAGTACGAGTCGTAAAATTGTTTCAAATGACTTAGTTACGAGTATAAAAATATAATATTTGCAGGTGCATTCCTAAAAACGAGTTTGATAGCTTCGACATGTCTGTTTGTCCATCCGTCTGTCGCATTTAACAACTCGAGAACCTTTGATCAGAATCTCGTATTTTGCTTGAATTTGTTCCCATGTCCGAATTGTTTTAAAATCACACAAAAATGACGAGAAATTTCGTAACGAAAACCTGAAAATGTAGAAATGTTACACCTATACAAAAACCTGCTTGGATAATATTAAACTTGAATTTATTTTCTTAGTTATAAAATATCTGTTCAGTTTTCAGAATTATGGAGTGTCTTTGAAGTACAATATTGAAAGTAATGTCTTCGAATGTTTTTGTAGTATTCAGACATCTTGTTATGATTGATCTTGCTGGAAAATGGCTGACAGTTGACTCGGCGAACACCGCTCCAGATGACTCAGTTCCAGGAACTGCTGTTCAATGTCACATTCCAGCTCCAGCTGCTCCTGGAGAGCGGAATCGATATATTCTGGAAGAAGATGGAACAGGTGCCGGTTAATGAAACGAGGACCTCTGGCTGGCTGCTTTAACGCAGAAAGCTAATGTACGTTATGGGTCTTCGAGCTACGAGGCTGTGGGGTCTTGTCAGCGGATGCATAACTTACGCAATGTGCAAGATAACGCGAGTTCGTGACCCGGGAGACCACGGTCAAGATTTTAATCTCCAGATATTAGAGATCGTTCGGAATCTGATAAAGCTTGGAAACAAATAACAGATAAAATTCATTTTCACGAAGAAATTATGAGAATTTAACATCGGAGAATCCTTATTTCTATTCAAATTAAAAAAAGTCTACGTATATTCCAGCGTTCTACCTGAAAACCCAAGGACCAGAAAAATATCATTTTAACGTGGTTGGACTTTTTAGAACATTTGTATCTACAAGAGATAGAAATTAACAAAAGACTGGAGAAAACTACATAATAAGGAGCTTCATAATTTGTACGCCCAAGTCATGGATAACGTAATCGAACGAGCAGAACATGTAGCACGCATGGGGAGACACAATTCTCGTAGAACTGCAGTAAAAACAATGAAGAAAATATCCACTTGTCAGACACAGAATTAGATGGTCGGATAATATTAAAATATGAATATGATTATGAAGATTTCTGTCTTCTGGGTTGTTGCGCTGTGTAGTCTAGTCCAGTGTTATTCAACCTGGGGTACGCGTACCCCCGGGGGTACACGAAGACATCTTAGGGGGTACGTGAAATTAAAAAAATATATATTATTTTATGATAAACACTGAATAATCAGTAATGTAATTTATTTAATTTATTTTAGATGTAGATTATATACTACGTATAACTTGAATTATACACCAACAACTTTGGGGGTACAAAGTTGAAGAGAAATTATATCTGGGGGTACGCGAACAAAAAAGGTTGAATACCACTGGTCTAGTCGATGTTTACCGACGTATTTAAATGACCTAATAACTGTATTCCACTTGTTTCGTACCTCGTCTGACAAAATCACGTGACATGGAGTTTTTATGTCATCTTCGTGGATTTTTAAAAACTCTGTAGGTGACTTTTGACTTGGTGAGGAAAAGAGATTGGATTTTTTGTGTCCGGCAAATTGTAAACCTTCAGTTGACTAACACGTGGACCATCTCTGAATTAGACATCCCTATTATTAGAGCATTACAGCTCAGGATTTTAAGTTGACATGGTGTTTTAAAAACAGATTAAAAATAGTTCAGAAACACAAACTGTGAGTGTCCTACGCCGATGCTCACAGTTGGGGGTTACCCATTCTGAGATGGGTCAGAATGGGTTTACAGATGGTAGCGAGGTCATTGAGTTATAAATAGCTCAGGAAATACAAAATCACTTTGGCTTCCAAATAAACAGCATTCCACCCTCGTCTTAAATGTCCATTGCTTTGAGCCGAGTACGCCATTTATTTTGATGAAAATTTGTACATGTTTGTTTGTTTGTTTGTTGAATTGATTACATCTCGCTTACCTTCAGGATTTCCCACTAAAATTCTGTTCAATACATTTCTCGTCCTCGATCATCAAACTTTTGATACCGAAACTCGTCTAATTATCATTTAATAATTCAGTCCGTACCGCGAAGAAAACACAACTCGTCACCATTACGAATTGGTTAACGCTGTTTAAGGAATTAATCGCTGTTTAAAGGAAAAAATCATACGAAAGCCATGTACAAAACACATCGTTCCCGGTTATTAAAGCAGGCGACTTACCGACATGTTCGCCCAGAAGTCTTCTCACCGATTCGAATGGTATGTACTCCAAGATGTCGTCCTCAAGGCTGGATGTAGAAGGAAATCCATCAGTCTCTGTCAGAACGTGGTCCAGAAATTCCTGTTCGTTTGTTTGTAAGCCTGTAAGGAAGAGTTGGTTACATGTCGGCTGAAGCATTTGGCTTTTACTCTGCGTAAGGTTTGGTGTTGGGTACCCTCGACGTTCTTTCTATAATTCGAATTTTCGAAAGGCGAACCTCGTGTTTCAGGTCCTAACGATAAATGGAGCGGGAAATGCGTCCTAACGGTGCTACAGCCACACATTCTCTGAAGGGGAGCTACAGTCGAGACTCCGGGTGGTTCAGTGACGTATCAGCGTCGACTAAAGGGGCAGAGACGACGCGAAATGCTTAAAATGACTTTCATGAGTCACATTCGTAGTAATCTATTAAATGATATCAGCCAACGATTCCAGGGACTTAACATCTTCTCACGAAGAACGATGAAGAATTGTAAATAATTGACTTCGGTGCAAGATAGTTCAACCCTCTAAGAATCTGTGAGGTGTAAAGACGAATTTAAGAATTACGTGCTATGGGTTCTTACGCCTTGTAGTCCGGTAGAAGTTTACGGACGTTTCAGAGGCCCTTACTGCCTCCATCATCAGGGCGATTCTGATGATCCTGATACCATACCCCATAGCCACCGTGAGAATAAAAAATCCTACTTTTTGATTGGATTTTCGTAAATTAGTTTGAACTATTAATATTGAAATTGACAGATTCGGGATGTGATTATTATTTTAATTTTCAAATCAAAATTATTACTTAAGGTTAATTTTGTAATCTAGCATCATTTTATAGTTTATAGTGATCCATTGCTATCATAACCCATTTTGATGTTAAACGGTGTTCTTATGTACGCTCTGTACTTATTTTCTGTATTTTACAAAAGCAAATATTAAATAGTTTCACATTTATTTAAAGAACAGTTACATTATGGATAACTTGCATGATACTTACAGTCAAGGTCACCCGCTAGAGGTCTCTGTGGCACGCTAAGGCATGAATACTCCGCGCCGTGGTTGAGTTGATTGTCAGTATAGGACGCCCCTGTGACACAGAAATCGGTGAAATATTTTGAAAGTCCTTCAGGCAAATGTAAGGACATACAGACATGATATTAACACTGATTTTCGTTGTCAAGCAAAGAACCTAACCTAACCTAACCTAACTTAACCTAACCTAACCTAACCTAACTTAACCTAACCTAACTTAACCTAACCCAACCTAACCTAACCCTAAGTAACCTTGTACAAACAACCGGTAGAATTAGTGTTTATGAAATATAATATTTTATATCCGTGGACGGTGTGGTAGCAGAGAAGGCTTCCTACCTGTTGGATATCTTTTCGTTGAAGACTGGTCCAGCATTGTGGAATCGGCAGCTTCTCTTGAGACGGGAGAGGACGCGTGCTTTATGATGTGATCTGTGGCCTGTGGGGTTTCAGGTACCATCTGGACACCCCTGTCTTCGCTCCGAATCTGAAACGCAATAAGTTTTGGTTACAGTTACGTGTTTTTGTCGAGGGTGGTAGCCTCGTTATCAACAGATTCCTG